AAAGGATTGTGATATATAATATATCATATATATATGTATATATAGAAGATAAAATCTCACTTTTGTGAAGTGTATAGAAGGAAGCAGGCAATGCATGGCATCTCTTTCGCTTAAACCAGATCACGAAAATGGCCACAGCAATCAGCAAAATGGAGGTAGAGCTCGACTGTGAGCTCTGGTAGAGGAAGGCAACCGGCGATGGTGCGGTGGTGTGGGTCGTCCGCAGATCAACGCCGCGAGTCCAAATCCAGTTCAGATCGGCGACTAGCTATGGACGGTGCAGCGATGCAGTGGTCCGGTTTGGCAGATCACCGGCAGCGACGACGGCGACTTGATGATGACGAAGGTAACAGATTCGGCAGTGGCGACGGCGGCTTGATGAGATCCGAGATAGATCCGGCAGCGACGATAGTGGCGGGTCTAGTTGGTTTTGCAGTGGTTTGGGATGAGGTCAGCTTGGGCCGAGATGGAGATCTGGCGATGTGCGCAACGGCTGTGACTGACAGATCTGGCAATGTGCTCGGATGCGCAGCTACTGACACTTGTGGATATGGATATGGGTTTTGATTTTTTTATTTGAACAATCTGAAATGATATGCCAATATGGGTTTTGGAACAATAAATCAAATGGGTTTTGAACCACGTTATGATACCATCTTAAAATTTAAAGAAAGAATATGAGAATTAAAACTCTATTAGATCATTCATTAATGAGTATTACATCCAATTTATATAATAAGATTAGCTAAAATAGGTAACTAATTACCTACCAATTAGGTAAATAATTCAATCCTACAACTGTAATATAAGAGAGAAAATCTCACCAGCGGGTTCATAGGAGTCTATGGCATTCCTTGACTATCGATAAGTGGACATGATTCGTTCTGTCGTTCCGGCGTAATATAGAAGGTGAGTGTCTGTTCTTCGGCAGAGAAGGGTGCGTAGTGACTAGAAAACACACACCAAGCCAAGGTGCCGAGGTAGACCCCATATTAATATCAAGGAGGAGAGCAAAATATTCCCATGGTCGTGATCTCCTCTTCCATCTATTTCCTCTCTCCATTCCTTCTCTTTGAGCAAACCATCAAAAGATTAGAGAGTGTATGAAAAAAATGAAATCTTTTAATTCATTTGTTTACTGTCAATTCATATTCCAATCTATTTTTTGAAAAAATAAAATAAAATAATCCAATGGATTGGTCTACCTTGTGGCAGTGGTGGTGAACACGGTGGCTGCGTTGAAGAACCAAAATCACTCATTTTCGGTCCAATTTAGTAATCGAAGGGGGCAAAACAAAAACGAACCTAGAAATTGTACTCACAAATAGCCCAAATCAAGAAAATTTTCTTAAACCCTTGTTATGAATAGAAAAAAATTAAAAAAATAAAAAATAAAAAATAAAAATAAAAATTGATAATTTTTTTGGGGCAGAAAGATGACGACGTGGCCTTTGCGAATCTCAATGGCGGAGGGAGATGGAGCAATGGAATCAACGGCAGTCCAAACGTTAGAGAAGAAAAGGCGGCTGGCCGGTGGCGGTGTTGCCGTGGTGGGGACGCAAGGATTTGAATGTGATGATGTTGAGGGAGTGATTTGAAGGTAAAGTTATGGGCTGTTGTTTGATTTGCAGAACCCACTTCTTAGATTAATTGTAGCCATTGAATGACAATGTGTGTATATATACATATATACATATATGTGTATATAAAGGGAGTTGGGAGATTTTGGAGTCTGAGAAGATAGCAACTGGAGAGGAGGATGGAATGAGATAAATGGAGAATGGCAATGGTGGTTAAAAATAAACAAATAAATAAATAAAAATAAAAAACAAACAAGGTCAGCAACCAAGTAAACACGTGAGTGAATTGAAATAATATGTGAGGGTATAAATGTCTAATAAATTAAGGGTAAAAATGTACATGAAACAATGAAGGGTAATTTAGGTGTTATATTTTATCAATTTCATAAAAGGGGTACCACATCAAGACAAACCAAACCTAAAGGGGGTGTGATAGCAAAAATGACCGAGGTTTAATATTAGAGCAATAAGTCCAAACCTAGGGAGTATGAGAGCATTTAACTCATATTTTTATGACTTAAACAAGTTATACGAGTGGACCTGCGCATGGTAAGGAATTTATTTTGTTTATCTAGGGTAAGGGATATAATTTGTAAATTGAAGTAAAGAGTCATATCTCTTGTTCCAGTAAGATAATCAACACTTTTTATATGTACCGTTAGATTAAATCTAACGGTCATTTTTCAAATCCACCTATATCATTTCTTTTTAAAACAAAACCAATAATACCAGTATATATTACTAAAATTTTGTTTTTTTGTTGTAGATGTTTCTTTGAAATAAATATAAAAACATTTGAAAAAAAAAAAATATTCGTATATATTATTAAAATTTTGTTTTTTAAATGTTTATTTAACAATAATATAGAAACCTTTGAAAGAAAAATAATACCCATATGTTACTAAATTTTTTTTTTTCTTTAGATGTTTATTTGAAAGAAACATGAGTAAGAGGAAACGGATGGATTGGAGTTCATGGGTTTTGAGACTTAAATGTCTTCTATTTGGCTTTACTTTTATTTGTCCAGGAAGAGTTTACTTGAAGGCTTTGAGGTTTAAATGTTTTTAATTTTGTTAAGTTTCAGCCATGAAGAGATTAAAATTTCTGTTTCAATTTTATTTAGTTTAAGCTTCGTCAATTTTGAAAGAAAATTTTGAGACTTAAATGTCTTTTATTTGGCTTTACTTTTATTTGTCCAGGAAGAGTTTACTTGAAGGCTTTGAGGTTTAAATGTTTTTAATTTTGTTAAGTTTCTTTCTGTTAAGTTTTATTTATTCAATTGTATAATATTATTATCCACACATATACGCACAAATAACTTAAAACAATACTATTTCCCATGAGAGTTTTGGTTCTAAAACAACATGAAACACCTCTGAATCTCGGAATCATGCAACCTGCTGAAGGTCACAAAGTATTTCTCATCACGTCACAAAGTTCAATTTTATAGGACAAAAGTGCCCTTTTAACACTTTTTATCTCTCCCCTTTTTGAATTTTTAGGATGTGTACATGCAAAAAAAAAGACCACACAATATTGAACACTGAGAACGACAATATTGAACACCGAGAACAATAAGATGTTTCTTAGGAAAATGTTCTAATATCATATTGTTGTTGCAAAATTGAAAAATAATATCATATTGTTGTTATAAAATTGAAAGGCGGGTATTATTTTTATTTTAAAGAAACAACAAGAAAACAAAATTTTAGTAATATATACTGGTATTTTTTTTCTTTCAAAGTTTTCTATATTTCTTTCAAAAAAACATCTTAAGAAAAACAAAATTTTAGTAATATATATAGGTATTATTTTTCTTTAAAAGGTTTCTATTTTTATTTTGGTAATTATCTTTTATTGCTACAGTAGATGATAATAGTAAAATTAAATATAGAAACTAAAAATATGGTGACAGTAGTTTTGTGTTAAAAGGAAAGGGTATATGTAGGTTTGAAAAAAGACCATGGTCCATATAAAAAGCGTGGATTAATTTTCTTATACATATATGCATACATGTTTTTAAATTATTTGTTATGATTTAAAGAGAAATGAAAAAAAAAAAAAAAAAATGCTAAGTAATTGACCACCTCATTTATATTAAGTAATCTTCTCATATCATTTATAGATATGCTCTTACAATTATATATTAAAAATGCATGGTTACTATTATTTTTTTAATCTGCCATAATGTAAAGATGTAAATAACATTTCTATTTTGAGACATGTGCAACGCAATCAGCAAAAATTTGATTTTTCTGTTATGTGATTAAAGACTCATTTTTTGTAGGAAGATTTTTTTTTTTCCTTCGACTCCTGCACCTCCAATCAACCGAATAATTGATGGATTGTACCGAGTTTGATTGAGTCCTCGTTGAGTACACGATTTTATTTAATTGTACTAAAGTACAAGTATTTGAAAAGATTTATTGACTGGAACTTCCAAAGGAAGGAGATAAAGAGAGACAAAGGAAGAAATTGTTTTAGAATTTTCATTTGGAACGCACACTTCTCTCAAACAAATAAGTCATTCATGATAAAATATTATGAAAAAGCCTTCATAATATTTTCTATTTTTAAATTTTGCTTAAAAAGAAAAGAGAAAAAAAATAATAATCTTCTATGATTCTCTCTCCTTCTAAAATACTTACGTAAAGCGAATAATAATTACTGTCTTCTAAAAGTTCTCCGAACATGCCATGAAGAGTTTGAGACGTGGTTAAAATAAAGTTGACCCTAATATATTTATTAATGATTGGAGATGTGATTTGTAGAAGAAAAACAAAATAAATTTAATTTGGCAATTGAGGGTGGGTGCACGATTCTATGAATTTCTCTATTCTTACTTACTGAAAAAATAATAATAATTTCTTTTCTGGACTTCTATTTTTATTTTTAAAAGGTTATTAGGGTGCGGATGGGTGAGTTGTAAATCTAATAATCCTCTTTAAAAATAAATTAAATAAATAAATTTATGCGTGCAACCGATTGCATCCAACCGTTGATTAATGCCCCTATGTTGGTAATGAACCCTCGTTCATAATTCTCATTCACTCTCTTCCCCTAATTTTTTTTTTGTTTTTTTCAGTAAGCATTTGATATTTTGACTCTGATTTAGATTGATCTTGTCTTTTGGATATTCCTATAATCAATATTAATATCATTGGATCCATGGCTTTTAAATTGTCAGTTATTTGTGTTTGGAGGACGGTTTCTTTGGGTCATCTTAATCTCAATCTCAACAGGGGAAGGCAATTAGGGAATCTTTTTTTGGGCAACGGTGGTCGTGGTGGTGGTAGTGGTGTCAAGCAACTTATATCCTTCTCCTCCTCCACTCATAACCCACCAAGTCGATCTCTTCTTTGGCGAGCAATCAACTCTTCTTGTAATTATTGTTTAGCTAATCATCCACCATTGTCGGCAATGGCACCGTGTCTGTTGATACCTTTTTGCAAGGACAAGGATGAAATTGATCATGAGCTGTTTGCAAAAGCCATTGGAGAGGAAAATGAGGGTGGTGGTTTTCCAGATTATTGCTTGTACAGCCTAGCTGAAAGAAAACTGGTGAGCCTCAACAATGGGAGGAGCAACAGTAACATTGTCATACCTGATCACGCAGTCTGCATCGGGTCGTCCCATGGATGGCTGGCCTATATTCACTGTCGTAGTGACGACTATGTTCTGGGTGATGACTATGATCTATATTTAACCAATCCGCTCATCACTCCGGTTCCAACCACCATCCAAATTCCATCCTTGAAATGCATTCCCAAAAGGGTTGTAATGTCATCTCCTCCTCCATCAGCCTCTGGGGATGATCACTGCACAGTGCTAATGGCAATTGACTTTCAACATTCCCTTGCCTACTACAAATTGGGTGACTCGTGCTGGCGTGGCAAGCTAGACTATAAGAAGTTGGTAGACGTGGAAGATGAAGCTGAAGATGAAGAAAATGAAGCTGAAGATGAAGAAAAAGAAGATCCTTGGAAGTATGACGATATTGTGTATTCTCCCAAGGATCAGTTGTTCTATTGCATAGACTACTATAAACAAATTGAAGCATGGGATCTTCGCAGTAAAGCAAGAGCTCGAGGTCCTCCTTGCAAACTGAGAATTGCTTTTGACGATTCCAGTTTTCAAAAACCCGATTTCCCAGAGTATGAACTGAAACCGAGGAGCATTATTGGCAAACTTTACCTAGTTGTGGACCCATTTTCTGCAGATATTTTGTCTATCCATAGGTGTGGTGAAGTGATTGCAAAAGATGGAACCATTCTTGATGATTGGGAGAATTGGAAGGATGAATACTATTTTAAGACTCATCGATTTGAAGTTTATAGGCTCAACGTGGCTAACAAAAGTTTGGAATACATTGAATGTCTGGATGATAGAGTGGTGTTTGTGGGAGACAATCAGTCCTACATGGTCTCAGCTCAAGACTTCCCTCCTGGAGTATTGATGCCCAATTCTATCTATTTCACCCCGGATTCCATCTTTTTTGAGGGCACCAAAGAACCACTCCAAAATCTAAAGGAGGCTGATATGGGTGTCTACAACTTGAGAGATTTCACTGTCACACCCATTTTTCCCTCTCATCATCCACTCAACAATATTCTGCAACCCGTTATGTGGTTCAACCCTAACCGATGCTAGGTTTATGGTAAAAACATCTCCCTCTGTTTACTTTACACTAGAGATTGCAAAACCTGTGGACTTGATGAGTCTTTTAATGGATTAGATATTTTATGATTTGATGAAAATTATGGGTTTGAGCTCTATGAAACAACAAAGGTGGAAATAGTGTGGTGAAAGGCCCTGTGGATTTGTTTCTTATAAACAGAGTTATGTCAATAAAGAATCACAATTTTATATTTTTTCCCTCTTCAAACTTAGAATAATAGGATAGGATATTATATCAAACTCCTTTTTCCTCTCTATTTCTCAGCTCTTTTTACTGGCAATCAATTTATACAGTAATATTTCGGGAATTCTTGGAGATACAACAACAATGTTTCGTTATTTCTACGTGAGATATGAGTGTTTAAATTTCAGAAGGTTACTTATTAGATAAAGGAGTAGTTTTAACTACTAGAGGAAGATAAGGGATAGAGTAAAATTGAGATATTATGAATTGAAATACGACTCCCTATCCTTATCTTCGTAATTACCTTCGGTGAGAGTTGTAGAAAAAGACTTCCTGAAAGATATACAGCACGCTCAGAAACAGTGTAAGGAAGTGTGTGTGAGAGAGTTTAGGAGGAGATATCAATGGAAAAGTGATTGTCAAGCATGAATTTTTCAGGCAAGTTAACTCTTGTTTGTATTCTTTCTGTATATAACGCAACCTTTTTAATTCATGTTAGGACTGGCAACCTTCATATTGTGTAGTAGACTCATAATATGAGTCATACACATGAGTAGATTTATGCACTTTTATATACTTGTACATGCGTCCATGTATGTTCTTAATTTATTGATATTGTTAATGGATTTGGTTAATGTGTATGGTTGTGGTAATAGGTTTAAACCGTTGAAGCGTACGTGGGTATAATAAAACATGAACTTTTACTGTTATAATAGTAATTCTGGCATGTAGTAAATATGTAGTTTGTCAAATATTTATTTCGTCGGGGTGATGTTGAGCCTATATGGATGAATTTGATTTAATAGTTACCTTCATACCTACACAAATTATTGTGAATAATTCTGGCATGTAATAAATATGTAGTTTGTCATATATTTATTTCGTTGGGTTGCTGTCAAGCGCGTTGGGTTGATGTCAAGCGTACGATGAATCTGATTTAATAGTAAATATGTAGTTTGTCATACCTACACAAATTATTGTGAATCTGCTCATAAATGATGGATTATTTAGGAATTTTATACTGATGTTATTAAAAAAAAAATTTTATTTTTTATATTGAGGTAATAAAAGGGGATTATATATAATTTGTAAGTTTAGAATCTCATCCAATGATTATAGATGGAGTTAAGGAACTGGAATGTTGGGTTTGTCGGAAAATGCTTAATTGACCATCCTTGGTTGTGAATTGATCTTGTAGTTTGGCATGCGTGCGTGTCAGTAAATGGTTTCTTATTTGATGGCATCTGAGTCAAGAATTAGACCTATATATGAATCATGTGATGTTAGTACTGTTGTAGTCATATATGATTAGATTTTAAACATGGTCAATGGTTTGGTCAAGGACTTAGAATTACATTGCATAAGTTTGAATTTGTTGGGCACATCGGAAGCTCCTGCTACCAATATGTTGGCAATAACAGAAATCTAAACAAATATACATTCAACGATGGCAAATTATATAACAACAAGATAATAATAAAGATTACGAAGAAACACACTATAAGATAAGTTTTATACGTGGGTCACCCTCACAAATAGGAGTAATTTTGAATTTGGTTAATGTGTATGGTAATGGATTTGGTAAATGTGTATGTTTGTGGTAAAAGCATATATGGATATAACAAAACATGAACCTTTACCTATTGTTATAGGAGTAATTCTGGCATGTAGTAAATATGTAGTTTGTCATATATTTATTTCGTTGGGTTAATGTTGAGCCTATATGGATGAATCTTATTTAATAGTTACCTCCGTACCTACACAAATTAGTGTCTCTGCTCATAAATGATAGATTATTTGGGAGTTTTATACTGATGTTATTTAAAAAAAAAAATTCTTTTTTTTTTTTTTTCTATTGAGGTAATATAAGTGGATTATATATAATTTGTAAGTTTAGAATCTGATCCAATGATTCATAGATGGAGTTAAGGAACTGAAATGTTGGCTTTGTAGGAAAATGCTTAATTGACCATCCTTGGTTGTGAGTTGGGCATGTGTGCGTGTCACTAAATGGGTTCTTTTTTTTTTTCTTTTTTTTTTTTTCATAATTGTGGTTATATAAAAAAGAAGAAAAAATGACAAAGTCCCAGAGGGCATAACCTTAGAAAATAGAAACAACTAAGGGAGAACTGGATACATGCATCACAGCAACTCCTATAGCAGAAAAAGGAAAAGAAATTAGGCAGCCAAATCTGAAAGAAGAATTTTGTGAATATCCAAAACATCGAGCAACAGATTTCTTGCCACAACCTCAGGAGTAGAAGCAGTTTCATAAATTCTAGCATTTCTCTCTTGCCAAATCCCCAAAATCGCAGTAGCAAATAAAGTTCTATGAAACCTCAAAGTGGATAAATCTTGAAACCAAAGAAATAAATCAGCAAGAGTTTCAATAGCTGCAAACTGATGCATACTCCACTTCAATGTATCTCCCTACCGTCTCCAAAAATCTTGAGTAAATTTGCATCTAATAAAAATATGATCGGTTGAATCAACAGCTCTTTGACACAAAGAACATCTAGCCACCAAACAGACCTTCCTCTTTTGAAGATTCACCGTAGAAGGGATACGATTTTGCATCACAAAAATTATAGTGACAGACCATCGCCTTGCATGACTCCAACAATAGCTATACCATTTAACCTCAGCTGCAGGCACTCTACACAATTGCCAAGCTTTTTTGAAGGAAAACGTGCCATTATCCCATAACAACTTATCCTCTGTATTATGAATAGGAACTTGCATAAGAAAATCTCTGAATTGATGCACATCAGGTCCCTGCAACAGAGATAGATTCCATCTACCATTATCCATTAAACTGTCCAGAGAAGCACTCCTAGAAACATTTAAAGATCTAAATACTCTATGTCCAAACTTATGAGCAATAGTCTCACCATCACACTAGGGATCTTGCTGTTGGAAAACGTGCAAGTTTTAAAAACTTTTCGAGAGATTTTGATTCATAGATCTTGATTCATTACATAGAGACAAGTTTTATGCAAAAATAAAATATGATGTATCATTCAATTAATAGATTGAATACTTACATCAAGGTTAGAGTAAACCTTAGATCTCTCCTCTAAAGTGAATGTTCTCATTTTTTGTAGATCCCTTTACTAGATGCCATCTCCTTGGATCTCCATCATCTTGGTAATTGTCTTGCCTTTAGAAATTACCCATAAGACACCATAAATACCTTGGAAAACTAGGCTTGTGGAAGCCTCCATTAGATGAGAACATTAACCCTAATTTTCTAGAGAGAGAAAATAGATTCATTTTTCCTTCTTCCAAAAATCACCCCTAAAATATACATAGAACATGCATATATATAAGCAACATAAAGATAAAGAAAAGGAAATAATAAATCATTCTTAATCTCTAATTCACATGTCTCAAATCTAATAGGATTCCAATATCAAGTTGGGCTATGAGTGAGAATCATTTGGGCTTATCATTTTATTGGCTACAGTAAATTAATAATTGGCCCGGTCCATTAACTCAATTCAATTAATTCATAAATTAATTTCTACTCCACTAAAAGAAATTAATTGAACTTTAATTAAATAATAAATAACCTCTAAGTCAATATTGCACTTTGACCCCGCTATGTATAATTAATTATCGGATAAATAAAGCCATCAATCTAACTACTTAAAATATATATTATATTTTAGTTCTGTTGATTATTTCTGGCTCGATCACAATAAAATATTTGTTTGACAAAAATAATAATTTAAATAAATAAATATATAATAAATCATTTTGTTTAAAAACACACGAAGTCCTTCGAATTTACTTTGTGATCAACCATAATCAATACAAAATAAATACAAGTAGCAATGATGCAAATATTGAAAATATAACCCTCTAACTATTAATTACATAATTACCCAAAGTGCTGGTCTAAACATTCCGAAGATTCCGCCAAACAAATCAAAGTAATTACTAATTAATAAAAGAGTTTATACTTCTCTCATACTTAAGAGTCAAATGTCATGACAGTGATAGGGAGCAATTGCATATGACGGCGGACCTTCAATGACCGTAGGCTTGTACAATGCAATGTTAAGGCTATATCCAATCTCTATTTTACCTTAAGCAAAGACGAATTCAATAAAGTTTCGGATTGCGAAATGGCCAAAGAAATTTGGGATAAACTTGAAGTTACCTTTATAGGTACTAGTCATGTTAAGGAATCCAAAATGAATATGTTTGTCCATAAATATGAACTCTTTACCATGAACAACAAAGAAACTATTAGTAAAATGTATTCTCGTTTTACTAACATTGTGAGTCCTTTGAAGGCTCTTGGAAAGTCATATACATCGTCTGACAATGTGAGAAAAATTCTTAAGTCCTTGCCTAAGAATTGGGAAGCCAAGACGACCACCATCCAAGAGGCTAATGATCTCAACACACTTCCTATAGATAAACTCATTGGTTCCTTGATGGCTTACGGGCTAGAAATGAATGATAGAGATGAAGACAAAGAAATTCAAAAGAAAGATCTAGCTCTTCAAGCTACTACCAAAGAGGTCGCAATTGATAAAACTCTTAATGATAGAGAAGAAGAAGAAATTGCTCTCATTACCAAAACCGTGAGAAAAGTCCTTCAAATGAAGAAATATCAAAAGAGTAACAACTTCAAAAGAAATGGTTCACCAAGTGAGCAAGGGAAAAGAGAAGTGCCTACTTGTTTTCATTGTGAAAAACCGGGACATTTCAAATCCGATTGTTATGCTTACAAAAACGAAAAGGAATGGAAAAAGAAAGCTAAAGTGATGCGGCGATA